CTTGAAAGCCAATGTAATGTGTTCTTCTGACTTGCTTGGTGTCTGTTATCCCTTCTTTCCCTCCAGTTTCTCCCATTTGTAATGGAATGGCTACCTTGTGCCTGTTCCACCATTGTACTTTGGAAGCAGATAACTTGTACTCTAGATTTCACAGATCAAGAGGAATTTTTGGATTTTGAACTTGGAGTTGATTTAAGACTTTTGCTATGATACGATGGGGTGAATGTGTTTTACATGTGACAAGGACATGAATTTTGGGGGGCCAAGGGGTGGAATGTTATGGATTGAATTGTGTCCCCCAAAAAGGTGTGTCAACTTGGCTAGGCCATGATTCCCAGTATTGTGTGATTTTTCCACCATTTTGTCATCTGATGTGATTTTCCTATGTGTTGTAAATCCTACTTCTATGAGGTTAATGAAGCAGGATTAGAGGCAGTTATGTTAATGAGGCAAGACTCAATCTACAAGATTAGATTGTGTCTTAAGCCAATCTCTTTTGAGATATAAAAGAGAGAAGCCAGCAGAGAGACATGGGGACCTCATACCACCAAGAAACAAGAGCCAGGAAAATAGCACGTCCTTTGGACCTAGGGTCCACGTGCTGAGAAGCTCCTCGACTGGGGAAGATTGATGGCAAGAACCTTCCCCCAGTGTCAACAGAGAGAGGAAGACTTCCCCTGGAGCTAGCACCCTGAAGTTGGACTTCTAGCCTCCTAGACTGTGAGAGAATAAATTTCTCTTTATTAAAGCCATCCACTTGTGGTATTGCTGTTATAGCGGCACTAGATGACAAAGACACTGAGTTTTTATGTTTTTCTTTTTTATTCTGATGGGTAGATTTGTTTCTTTGTGGTTACCTTGGATTTTAACCTTATCTTCCTAAGTTTGAACAAGTCTTTTATTACTTGATATTGCCTTGACTTCCTATCCATTTGAAAGTTCCATACCTACACCATTTATTCCTCCTTTTATTGTTCTGACACCGTCATCATTTACAGATAGATGTCTCTGTTTCCCTGTTTCAAGTCTTTTGGCTTTGTTTTGTTATTGAGAGTTCTTTACCTAGGTTGGTTTCTAGCTGATGTTGTCTTGTGTCCTAGACTTTGGTTGTTGTCTTACTTCGCTGGTTCTCTAACTTGAAGTACTCCCTTTAATATTACTTGTAAGTTTGGTTTGGTTTTATGAATTCCCTTAATTTCTGTTTATCTGGAAATGTCCTAATTTGTCATCATATTTGAGAGAGTTTTGCAGGTTGTATTATTTTTGGTTGGCATTTGTCATGGATTGAATTATGTCCCCCCAAAAATGTGTGTCAATTTGGCTGGGGCATGATTCCTGGTACTGTGTGATTTTCCTATGTGTTGTAAATCCTGCCTCTATGATGTTAATGAGGGAGGATGGGTGGCAGTTGTGTTAGTAAGGCAGGACTCAATCTAC